TTGACGAAGTAGTAGACAATATCTACATATTTGGTCCTAGCATGGAGGATGGGATTAGTAGTTAAGTGTACAACACTCATATTATTGTAGAAAATCATAGGAGGTGTGTTATAAGGTATCTTTAGCTCTTTCGAGACTGAAAGTTTTTGTATAATCAATACCTGGGGTTTGGTGAAACCCTTTGACAACCAATCTATCCTTGCATCATTCAAGAGATCCATCGGATTTCAATTTCACCTTATACGTCCATTTACAACCTATTATTTTGGTGATTTCTCTCTGGGTACTAGTTCCCAAGTGTTGTTTCTCTTAGAGCCCGTGGTTCTTGATTCATTGCCTCTGACTAGATTTTGGTATTTTTGGCTTCATCAATGCTTTGAGGTTGTAAAGGTATAGAATGAGAGACTTTAGGCTTAAAGATACTAGCTCTGGGCCTTGTTACCATGTAATGGTAGTAGCTTCTTTGCTGTCCAATTTGATCCCCTTGTCTTGCAAAGCATCTAAAATGGGAGATAATAGTGGTTGACCATCATTTAGTTCTAAATCCCTTGGAAGATGAGGAGATGAGATTGAAGCATGAGTTGATGAGTTAGGTAATGAGGTTGCAGGGGAGTCCGAAGAGAAAGATTCTTGGTGGGAATCTGAAGGGTGTGTTTGAGTGGGGGTATGACCACCTGGTTGCGGTGAAGGAGTTTAAAGGAGCACAAGGGTGGCATTGATCGACTCTAGAGGGATGAGCAGGTTGCCAGAAGAGTGAAAAGGAATTTGGTCTTGGTAATCGGTTTTTGGAGTGGATTTTTGATATGGAAAGGATATCTCATCAAAATATAAATCTTGCCTGTGGTTTTGTTTACATAGAGATATCCTTTGTGAAAATTGATGTGATCTAGACAAACACAATCCTCTGATCTTGTTTCTAACTTATGCTTGGTATGAGGTCTTAGTAGGGGATAACAAGTACAACCAAATACATGAAATAAATTATAACTTGGTTTCTTATTTAACAACAATTCTGTTAGAATTTGATTATTTAGAGGTCTTAGAAGGAAGATGATTTATAATTAGTATTATTTCGTGAAAAGTATAAGGTCAAAATGCTTTTAGAACTTAATTGTGATGTAGGAGGGACACACCTACTTCTACTGTAGGTTGGCTTTTTCTTCGGACCCTTCCTTTCTGTTGAGGAGAGCAAGAATGTTTAATACGCTTATAAGTTACAATTTATTCGTAAGTTATTATTAAATTATTATTATTATTTTAAAAATAGCATAATTAATTTAAAGAATTACAATTATTGTATGAAAAAGTTATAAATTATTCATTAATTATTGCACAATTATTATTATTAAATTCTAATTATTATAATAAATTTCCAGAATTATACGTTATTGTATAATAAAATTACAAATTATGGTTTATAGAATTATTTGTTATAATTAAGAATTTCAATTTAATAAAATAAAGTGAACTTGGATTTTGTAACACTTTGGCCCGACCAAAACCCACTTGGTTTTTGCAATAATTTGACTTAATAATAAGACATTGGGTTAAAGTTAATTGTATTATAAAATTTAAAAATTTAAAAATTTATACAAAATAAATATAAATTTCAAATGAATAGGAATAAAATGGACAACTCATTTTTTGACTGATTTTTTCATCGGAAATATATATTAAATAAAAATTTATTTATATTTTATTTTTTGACAAAAATATTCATTAGAAATTATACTAATTTGAAAATATATTTTTATTTTACAGATGGATTTTTCCTTGGAAAATATATTTTAAATAAAAATTTATTTTATATTTTATTGTCTAATTGAAATATTCCATTGGAAATAATATTAATTTAATTTTTAATTTCACCGATGGCTTATTCCATTGAAAACATTTACAACTTTTGAAAAATTATAATTCTTGAGTTTTTGACAGAAATTTTCTGTCAGAAAGTTTTCAAAATAATTTTAAAATAACCTTCCTAGGGCTCGTTGTCCATTGGAAAATTTTTAATTTAAAAAAATTGAAATTTATTTTCTAACGAATTATCTCATTGAAAATTTGTTAGAACCATTTTTTTCCTACGGATTTTCTTGTTTTTTGATAGACTATCCAATGGAAAAACCATTGAAAATCTTCTGATTTTTTATGTCCATTGGTAATTTTTCATTGAAATCCATGCAATTTTTTGTAGTAATTTTTATGTCAAATCAAATTTTTTTATTTAAATTTTAACGTATCAATCGAATTTAAATATAATTTAACAGATATAAATTCTATAAAATATTAGATCAGGTTCATATATAAAAATAAAATATTTAAATTTGAATTTAAATTTACTTAAATTAATTTAAATCTGGCTCTCTAAACTGCATAGTGCAATTTATAGACCTAATTTCCATCCACCATCTGAATTGTCCATATTGTAAGATGTGAATACAAAAATATGGATCGTTCAAATATTAACTTTTTATTTGTTGTTAAAAGTGCAGAGGTTAATGTTTAACTCAACCTTGTATCTAAAATAAATAAATAAATATTAGAGCAGGAAGTAAAAGAAAAAAGATTCCATTTTTCTAATTTCTTAAAAATAATAATTTATTCATTTGAATTTTTTAAAATTTCAAATTAATTTTTTTAAGATTTAATTCTTTTGATAAAAAAATTATGTTACATAAAAATTAATGAGCAGGTCGGACACCACAGTCGGCTTTAAAGGTGTTCAAAACCGATTTAGAACGATTGAATCAATCTAAATTAAATCTAATCTACCAAAAATTGAATAAATTTAATTTTAAAAATATATGAATCGATTGGTCCAGTTCAATATTGTAAAAAAAAAAAAAAAAAAGACAACCGAACCGATTTGCATTTGATGCAATGGGACGTGTCCATGCAGAGACGACGTGGGAAGTGATTTGCATTTAATGCAATGGGATGTGTCTAGGCATGAAACAAGGGAAGGAGAAAGTTTGACTTTTCCATCCACGAATGCCATTGGCCGGAGCTTACCAACTTCAAACAAGTTGGCACGTCACTTTGTGAGATTCAAATTCCTACTGGTCTCTTTGAACTCTTTGAGCCTTTTGCGGAGAGTGAGAGAGAGAGCCAACTCTCTCTTATATACATTTGTAAGCTTTGCAAAACCACATACGGGTTACGGAAGAATAGAAAACCCAGCAGCCAAGGTTTCCCCCAACTCTTCTCTACTCTCTGCTTTCTGTTTTCAATTTGCATTTCTGTTTTGCATTCTATTTCATTGCTTCCGTTGACAAACCCATATATATGTAGAGAGAAAGAGACTCGTGAGTTTCGTGGGTGTAAGAGGCTAAAACCACCGAGAGAACCAACGGGTTGTTTCACAAGAAAGTGAGCCGTTGGTGTTTGTTGTCGATCAGGGGCCGCTTGCCAAGGTCATGAGTTTGCGTGGCTTGTGCGAGCAGGACATCACACTAACTTGTGGCTTCTGTTTAAGTGTTAAAAACCGAACCAGATCTACCTAATCAACCAAATTAAGCTGACTTAAATCGGTTCGATTTGGTTCAATCTTTTTATATGCACAAAATTGATCATGTTCAAAGAAATTTAGAACCAACACGTTTGATTTGATTTGAAAAATGTCTAAAACTAAATTGAACTGAAACTTTGAACACCCCTGGTCAGCTGAATGCATCTCTAAAACTCTCATTTTCTAATTATGGATAGAAATACAAAAAGAAAAATAAATTTTTCATTTTTCATCATATCATATTAAATAAACTTCACTGTCATAACTTAATATTAAATAAATTTATCTATTATCACGCTCTCAAGAACCTCAATAATGTACAATTTAGGTTGATTGATGGAATTTGAGACGAGTATTATCTGTTTATTTTTTTAAAAATCTCAAAGGAATCCATCTTTTCTATCAAATTAGTCTCCCTGTCATAGGTCAGAGTTGCTTTGCATGAAATGTATTAAATATAAATATAAAAATATATATAAATTTAATGTAATATAAAATAAGTATCTACCACACTATTTACATGTAATAATTATTTATACTAAAAAATAATAATTTTACGAATAGATAAATAGTAAAAAATTTTGTCAATTTTAATATATATATATATATAGTATTAAACAAAAACCAAACTTAGATATTGTTAAATATATTTTGGTTCATTTTAATTTTAATTTTTATAATATTTTTGAGGTGATTCTATGAGAAATAAAATAAAAGATCAAAATGAAGAGGTGAAAAGAAATGAAAAACTAGTGGTATTTGGTATAGCTACACTACCAACTCACTTCACTTTCAGAATTATAAATTCTACAGCTGCCGTGGGCTCCTATACGCACACCGACCGACCCCAGATTTGACTACGGCCCTGCATGGCTTGCCTTTGCCCACGTGACCCCGAAATAAGTTAAATTATTTGTCCCTTGTCAATAAACTTGCGGTTAATGTTTTTGCTTATAAATTTATTATAGCACTTCAAGTTTAAATTTAATCTATATTACTAAGACATCCAAATAAAATATTCAACTAAAAAATTATAAGATGACAGGTATTTAAAAATACAAAAAACCATGCATAAATTTAATTTTAGAAGTTTGATGTATAGTACAAATAGGAAATCTTCAAACAAATTTAGGATAGTTCATAGCATAAAATTCCACAACTGGTTAAGGATGAATTGCTTGAGTTGTTTTGCTGAACTATAAAGACATTGAAATATAAATAAACATGCATATGAACAAAAAAATTATATAAACTACTATTATAAGTTAAACAAATTTATTAAGTTAAACGTATAATTAAGTTCGTAAATGAAATGAAACTAGTCGTTTTCCTCTAAAAACAAAAACAAAAGGTGTAAAATTATCCTTCTATTATAGCAACTACCCACTTCATTATATATGTATGCTATTTGCGGGGCGAGGGTCACCCATCTTTCACGATAGACTTAATAATGGAGTTCCCTCACAAACCAAACACAGATGGGAGGAAGAAGATGCATGTAGTGCTCTTGCCATGGCTGGCCTTTGGCCATATGTTGCCCTACCTACAGCTCGCCCGGTTCCTAGCACAAGGTGGCGACAAAGTCTCCTTTGTCTCCACCCACAGAAACATCCAGCGCCTACCCAAGCCACCTCCCCACTTATCCCCGTTCATAGACTTCGTGAAGCTCGCCTTGCCACGCGTCGAGGAGATCCCCGCAGATGCGGAGGCCACCGTGGACGTCCGATCCGAAGATATCCACTATCTCGAAAAGGCCTATGACGGCCTCGGGCCGGAACTGGGTCAATTCCTCCGGTCATACTGCGCAGATTGGATCCTTCATGACTTCGCCTCACTGGCTGCCGCCCATCGCGGCAGAGCTAGGAATTCCAACAGCCTTTCTATCCATCGCGGCAGCCTGGTTCCCGGCCTTCCTCGGCTCATCATCGATGCTGCTTAACCGGTCCGACCCCAGCTCCAAACCAGAAGATTTTACTGTCCCGCTGGAGTGGGTTCGATTTCCTACGAAGGTCGTGTTTCGACTTTTCGAGATTAAGCGGTTATTCACGGCGGGAGGAAAAAACGCCTCCGGAGTTTCCGATCCATATCGGGTCGGGTCGACGATCGCCGGGTGCAACGTTCTCGCGGTGCGGCAGTGTCAAGAATTCGAATCCCAATGGCTGGACCTTCTGGGAGAGATGAACGACAAACCCATAATTCCACTTGGGTTAATTTCCCTTCCCTGCAAGACAGCGGAGACAAAAAAAGCAAGATTTGGGTTTCCATCAGCGAGTGGCCGGGGAAGCAACGTGTCGGATCGGTGGTCTACGTAGCGTTGGGCAGCGAGTCTCCGCTAAGCCAGGAGGAACTCACTGAGCTAGCCCTGGGTTTGCAACTCTTTGGGCTGCCTTTCTTGTGGGCACTCAGGAAGCCGCCGAGATCGGGCAAGTCCGACTCGGTAGAGCTGCCGGAGGGATTCGAGGAGCGGACCAAGGGCAGGGGAGCAGTGTAAGGTAGCTGGGTTCCTCAGCCGAAGACACTAGGCCATGACTTGGTGGGAGGCTTCTTGACTCACTGTGGCTGGAGTTCGATCATCGAGGGACTCCAGTTTGGGTGACCACTCTTCATGCCGCCCCTCTGGACAGATCAAGGACTGAACGCCAGAGCTTTTGATGACAAGGTTGGGCTGGAGAAACGAAGAGACGACGAAGATGGATCGTTCAGGCGGGAAGTGGTGGTAGAGACTTTGAAGCAGGTGATTGTTGAAGAGGAAGGAAAGACTTACAGGGATAAGGCGGAAGAGATGAAGGCGATATTCGGAGATAAGGAGAGGCAAGACAAGTAACTGCACAGCTTCGCCGATTAGCTTGAAAGCCATAGGCGGCAACAGAAGTATTGAATAGTTTGTGAAGAAAATAAAATCGCAGGTTAAAAAAATTATAAAAAGTAAAGTGAGTTCGTTGTTATGGACGTCTTTTTTAAATATATTATTAATTTATTAAATAAGTTATTATATCTGATATATGTGTATATTTATATATATATTAAAAGATTTATACTTGAATTTGGACATGGCTTAAATTAAAAAAAGTTAATAATTTTATTTATTTATTTTTATTTTTTAAATTAATATAAAAATAATATAATTATTTTAAATAATTTGACCATTTTTATTTATATTTAAATGTTAAAAAATATCCGTTAAAAGTGATTGTCCGAATTTATATATAAATATACAAATTTTAATAAACTAGTTATATCTTAAAATATTTTTAATGTTCTTCTTCTCTGTATAATTAAATAAATAATTTTTTAAAATAATATTTTCATGACTCAAGCGTGGTGTTTATATGTTCCTAGAAACAAGGACCTTGGTTCCGCCGAGGACATGTCACTGCAAACTGCACTTTCATGATTCTTTGTTTGGCTCGTTCGTGAATCGGTAATTTGAATAATGCAAAAGCTTTTTTTTGAAGGGATGGATAAAGTCTCGTTTGAAAGTGGAAAAAACAGCCAACTCCTGCTGCCACATTTAGTACGTTATTTGTCTCATGCAAGGGCTGTTCGGTTGCATTACTAGGGCAAAGAGGGTTGGGTAATTTTATTATATTTAAACAGTAATTTTACCCGTTTCCAAAGAGTACAGGTAATATTATTTTAAAAAATTTTATCACTATAGATAAATTTTATTACACTCATCAAATTTTACCGATAATTTTATTTTGATTCAACTGAGAAAGTCAGATAAAGATAACTGTTCGAATTTTTTATCCAAACTATCTACAAGACTACTGAACATGTGTAAAAAAATGATAAAGTAGGATAAATTTATCTTATCCTATTTTATCAGATCAAACGAACGGCCCTGAGAGGTCTATGCTCCTCTTCCTCGATATTTCTTTTCTTGTTGTTAATGCTTATCACGTTTTTCTCGTTTAATTTATTGATTCTATTTTGTATATTAATTTTTTTTTGAATCATGTTTATTTTATTTTTTTCTCCATTTAAAATAATAGTTTAATATTATAACTATTTCTAAACTAAAAGAAACCTTTTTACCGAGGATTTGATTTAATAAGTAAATACATATATTGTTTAAATTAAATTAAAATTAATACTATCAAAGCATCATAAGAAATTTATGTTTTCTTTTTGTAATAATTAGTTATAGTAAAGCAATATATAAATATTAAACGATAATATTCAATATTCAATAGAAAAAATAATATCAATTCATTCAAATAATAAAAAAGTTTCTTTTAGTTTAAAAATAATCGTAATACCAAACTAAACAAAGAAAAAATATATAATTCATAGAAAAAATTAATATTAATAAATAAAATTAATGAATTAAATAAAAAAAAAAAGCGAAGAGTACGAAGAGGGAGAATTCAGAATGCCAAGCAAAAGTATTGTTAACTCCTCGTGGGAGACAGATGGCAGCATCACAAACGTGGCAGAAGGAGTCGGCAGGGGCCAGTTTTTTTCCTTTGAAAGTGCGCAGATTTAAAAATTGTAGATGAAAAAAGATGAATTTAAAAAAGAAAAGTGAGTATATAGAAAATAACTTAAATAAAATGGATTTCTAAAATATAAAAAAAATTAATAAATATTTAAAAACAACTTTTATCTATCATCATAATTTTATTACATTAATTTTATATTTTTAAAAAATAAGAAAAGAAAATATTCTGCAAGGTTGATGAAAACCCCTTTGAAGAATTTTTTTTATCAAAATTATCAATATTCAAAAAATTATTATACTCTAACTAATTCAATTCAAGTTAGATAAAATGTCGTGATAAGATAAAAAAATCTCCTTAAAAATTTTTTTTATGCACAAAATTTGAATTTAACTTTACTTAAGAAAATAAAATACCTAATATTATAACCAACCATCCGCTCGTCCCGTGCAAGAGAGTATGCTGCTACTCTCTTCGCCCCTCTCGGGGTAAACTCTCAGGAGCCGGAGTGCTTGGAGCCAATTTAACGTGGGCTCTCAAATAGGGTCAAAATGTCAACATTACCCGTTTTATCTTTATAATTACTTAAAAAAAAAAAAACCTAGCACTCAAGAGCTGTTTCTAAATACGTCTACTTATGATCACCCCAAATTAGAAAATTATATTTTTTATTCCAAAATATATGTAGGTCTATTATTATGCCAAATTTTAATCACACTTGGGTTCAGATCCAAACCCAACTGATGACATCCAGATCCATTTATTCTCTGATGTAAGCACAAATTCGAATCAGGTTAGAAACACGAACTATTTTGTAATCTCCATTTTTCTTCTACATTTTTAAGCAAGTTTATAAGTAGATTCTAATGTAAGCTCATCTTGTTTGCACTTGTTTTGTAATAACTGAATTTTACAAATATAAATTTAAACCATTTCGATTATTTTAATTGTCATGGAAGGAATATACAAATTATTTTTTGAAAATAATGCCTTTCTATTTAGACGAATTATTATTGTGATTTGAACGTTACGTGAATAGTGGTTAAATGTTTAATATTAAATCATATTGCTAGATTTTTTTTTACAATTAATTTTTTAAGGGTGTTTTCTGCATATATGTTACTAATCAAAAGAAACTATTCAAGTTATTTTTTATTATTGAGTTTTTTTTTTCTAATTACTGTGTTTGTTTTATTTATATTATTTTTGTATTTTTAAATAAATTTAAATTATTTATTTTGGATTATAAAAACTTTGTGTTAGTGTTTATATGTATTTTTTTAATTAAAAATAATTATAATAACTACATTGTATGAACACTCACCACTGATTTAACATAAATTTGTCAAAGTGAAAAATTTTATAATATATTTTAAATTACTTCATTTAAAATCAGAGAATATATACTACTACAAATATTCCTAAATTTCTAGTGTATTCGTCGCAGTTAAAGTATGTTAATGTAAAAAGTTCTTGCCCTTTTCAGACAGTTCCGTAGCTTCTAATTTCAAATTGGAATAATTATAAAGTCAATTGGCTTGGTAACTTTATTTAACCAAAAAATAGGAGACGAAACGTTTTGATAACTTAAATCGGTTAATAAATTGCCTAAAATACCTCTGTCCTCTCCACCACTTGCAACTCCCTCGCCTGCGCAACCCTCATCGCCCCCATCTACGCACCCCCATAGCCCCTTAGCCTGCAACCCTTGTCCCCCGACCCACATCCCCATTGCCCCCTCCCCCTTCACCCCTACAAATCCCGCAACCCTCCACCTCGACCCACATCACCGACTGGCTTGGTAATTTTCCTTTCAATTTTTGTTTGATTCGATGCATATATATATATATATTTATTTATTTATTTATAAAAGAAAATTCTTCGCAGTTCTCCAACTTTGACTTTTCTCCCTCTTTCTTAGCCCTCTCTTCCCTGTTACTTCTTTGTAACTCCATTGAAAGGAAAGGTCATGGTAAATCGTTGTCTAATCTCTAGCATCTTTTGTTTTATCACTTCTCATAAAATTGTTTCCCCATTTTCCCATCATCTGATTTATTTTTCCATTATTCACTTCTTTCTGGTTTGTTTGGTTGCAGAGAAAATTGTCCTAAAATGAGGAAAAAAAGCATGTCAATTCTACAATTTGTTTTTTTGAAACTTAGGTAAGCACAAAAAGCACTTTCAATTCTCTGCGCATTTTGTCATTGATTGGAATCATTTAATCGATTTCTTTTAAAAAATAACATTTCAATATTTTACATTCTTGTCTGGCTAGCAAGAAAAAAATTTCCCTTTTTCCCCCTTCTTTGAATTTTATTGGATTTCTCATCTAAATCAACTCTTTTTAAAGACTTAAAGAATTTTATTCTTCGGTTCCAATTGCATAATACTCTATTCTTGTGGGCAGATTGAAAAGTGGGCAATGGTCGGATAGATAGACAGAGAGACAGAGTTGTTCCGATGAATATGTCTTGCCTATTGCCTCTCAATTAGATTGCTTGTAAACTTCAAACAGAGATATTGACCTCTAACCTTAGACTACGTCCCTCCAAGTCTTAGAAAAGGGGGCTAGAATTGACCCAATTAAGATCCCTATTGTATTTGTCTTTCAGAATTGCTATGCAAGGGACTTCTCTTTTGATTTGATGTCCTAGTTGAGTTTCATGATACAAGCCTTATTCATAATCCAAAGGCACTTGATATCAAGGTTCCCTTGCTTATTACACCTACACAAGACCTTCTAAGCAACCAAATAAGTCTTTATAGTCTCCACGTCATGCCTCCAAATGAAATCCCTCCAAACCTTCTGTAAGTCACTAAAAATAGCTTTTGAAATAAGATCCACCATCATAGAATAAATAGGAATAGCATTCAAGACCGACTTAGACAGCATAGTCCTCTCTATTAAAAAAATGATTGAGTCTCCGACTAGTCAATCTTTGTTTAACTTTCTCGAGGCACTAATAATGCCATCCTAAATGCCCTTGTACACATTCATAGAAAGATAGTGGATTTACCTTTGCTCACTTCGGCCTAGATAGGAAAAAAAATCTCGTGACACTACATAACACACTACACTTGCTCCAAACTAGCCTAGCCAAAGAGAAGGAGGTTGTCTGCAAATATAAGGTGAGATATCTAGGGATCAACCCTACTTGCTTTTAGGAGAGGCCATTTGCCTTCCCTAACAACCTTCTCAATGATCTAGGAAAGTTTTTCCTTACAAAGCACAAAAATATAAAAAGACAAAGAGTTCCCATGTCTAATGCCCTTGCTTGGAAAGAAATCTTCTGTAACATTTTTGTTCCAAAGAACATTAAAGAAAGTGGAGGTGAGACCATCCATGGTTACCTCAATAAGACACCCTCGAATACTAGCTTCCATGTGCACCTATTTGATGAAAGACTATTTTATTCTATCATAAGCTTTCTCCAAATCAACTTTAATAGTAAAGAAACCTCTCATTCCATTCATTTTGCCAACATGATAGAAGAGAGCTCCCTCGCAATTATAATGTTTTCTTAGATATATCTACTAGAAAAGAAGACACTATCTTTGGCAAAATTGGTTTTATCGTGATCATAATGACTTTGGCAATCCCCTTGTGGATGACATTACAGAAAGAGATAGGGTGAACTGAGTTGTGTTCTCGGCCTTTCCATCTTTGGGATGAGGATAAGGAAGGCATTGTCCATTGATCTGACATTCTTTTTATTTTCCAAAACAATCTTTTGACTTTCTTTCCCACCACCTTCCAAAAATGCTTGTAGAAAGAAGCTGAAAAGCCATTTGGGCCTGAGGCCTTAAGGGGGCCCATAGCAGAAAAAGTCATCTTTATCTCCTCTTTAAATACAAGTCTATCAAGCTGCACCAAATTAGAGCTAATCGAAGGAATAGAAGGGCAGGAAAGTCAATACCTCAGGTATTCTTCTCATTTGAGAAAAGCTTATTAAAAAAGTTAACAATCATAAGTTGCAGAGCCCCTCTTGATTTTCCTCCCACTGTCCATCTTCTCACGGCCTTTTCGACTGATGGCCTTGAGGTGATAATACCCTGTGTTCTTATCTCCTCCATTAATCTACTTGGCCATGGATTTCTGATTCCAAAAGATTTTCTTCTACTTAAGAACTTGGCAAGCTCCCTATTGAGCCTCTTTTCCAAATATTTTAGAGAGGGATTTCTCTCATGAATACTAAATAATTTCCTTTGAATGGACAATAATCTTACCATGAGAACTCTCTTCCACCCCTCGATGTAGTGAAACACCTCCCTTTTCAGGTAGCAAGCATTTGAATTGTCTTACTAATATTAGACACTAAGCACATATCTTCCCTTCAAGCTGCTCTAATATAATGATTATCTGGTAATTATCTAAGAATTAAACCCTCTGGAGGACCTTCACCACGGCCTCTTAATATTTAATCGTCTAGTTGGGGTTGGTCGGGACTTTGTCCAACCTCTCGAAGACCCTGTCATGACCTTCACCCTAGGGACCCGTCCAAATTAAATGATTAACAAAGGCCCCAAGGTCAATGAAACCAGCCCCATTAATTTGGTCTTGGAAAAGATTCACTGTATGCCAATCAAATCTGCCTTCACCCTGTTTTCATCAACTGAAAAGATGTCATTGAAATCCCTCGCCACCAATCATTTCCCATCCATTCTCAAGGCTATGCTCTGCAATCATTTACCATCCTTTTTCGTCTCTTCTTCAGACTTGCCCATTTTGTGCAAGTTGGGAGCTCAAGCCTGTGTCAAACTTTAACCCGGCAGAAAGCTGCTTCTTTTTCCCACAAATGGACTAGCATTATCGTCCTCGTCAGCCGACAATTATATATGATTGTATCACTTAATTATATTTGTATAATTGCTTATATTAATTGAAATTCATAATATTTGTATTATCTTACTTTTCCAAAAATATGAGTAAATTTAAATATTGTTCATATCATTTTTGAAACTCGCTCGTTTATTCTAAAGGTTTAAAGCCGTTGTGGCAAAAATAAATTGTACAAATTAATTAAATAAAAGAACTATTTAAATAATGTTGGAGAATTATTTAGCCATAAATAATTTTTTTGTGAGTTATAAATATTTAACTTATTATGTGATCAATTGATATTAAAAAAATAATTATATATTTAATAAAAAATAAACTATTTAAATTTCTTAATAAAAAACTTTATTTTATAACAATAACTAAAATTTGTTGTTTTCTAATAAACTAATTTGACTTTCCAAGAATTTAATACAAAAATGATAATTAGAATATACCTAACGTTTGAGTCTTTATAGAGTTACTAACATGTACTTAAATATTTACTGAGTTTTATATTAAGTAAATAAATTATTATTAGGAGTAAAGATGTAAAAAATATTGTTCTCTGTGTGTGTTAATTTTGGGAATTTAGCCATAATCAAGACTTTTAAAGGGAATGGTTTACGGGTTGGATGGTCAGACATGTAGGTATAATACCCACCAAATATCTCCACAAACATGTGTGTGTGTGTGTGTGTGTAATTCTTTTTTTTCTTTCTTTGGGTGCTGACTAACATCATATTTCAGCATTTTCTATGTTATGCATAGGAAAAAAAAAAATATTTTAATTAATACTTATTTTAAGCATACATATAAATAAATTATAAATTGCTTTAAAAATCGAATAAGCAACGGATAGCACTCAAGCAAAAGTACAGAATTGCAGATTGCGGCTAGCACATTTGTGCCATTTATTGCCTCCACTAGCTTATTTCCAAGCTTGTACGTGACATACCGTTTTTGACCGTCGCGTTGCTTGAGCTTATTCTTTGTGTGCAGGATGATGACTTTCTAGATACTGAATCAAATGGTCGAGGTATCGTCCTTGCACGACTTTGTCTCCAAACACAGCACTCATCTCTCTCGCTTTGTCCCTGTAAATCCTTCCGTTACTGTCTACCATAACTCGCCTGACTGACTCGGCCACCGAGTGCCTGGAATAGTTGCCTTCTTCATCTCTTGAGACCTCCACACCCACCTGCTTCTCTTCCAGCACCCTCGCGTTCAGTCCCTGGTCTATCAGGAAGGGTAGCATGATGAGAGGCAGTCCCTGCCCCAGCGCCTCCACGATCGAACCCCACCCGCAGTGAGTCAAAAACCCACCCGTTGATTCGTGACTAAGTATCCTGGGTTGGGGCGCCCAGCTCGTCCACACCAGTCCCTGCTTACTGGCTCGCTCCTCGAACCCCTCCGGCAGCTCTGCAGAACCCGGCGGCTTCCTTAGCGCCCAGAAAAATGGCAACCCGGATAGCTCCAGGCCGAGTGCTAACTCGGTAAGTTCGTTCTGAGTCAGAGTCACCTCGCTCCCGAGCGCTATGAAAACGACCGACCCTTTTCTTCGCTTGTTGAGCCATTCGCTGATTGTGACCCACGTCTGGTTCTGCTGGTCGCTCACACTATCCTCCACCGAGGGGGGCATTAAGCCCACCGGTATCACGGGCTTTTGGTGGAGTTCCTCAACGAGGGTCAGCCACTGGGGCTCGAATTCTCTGCAGTGCCTTATGAGGAAGACGTCACAGCCCACTATAGCTGACCCGCCCCGGAAAAAATCGGATGCTTCGGACAAGTTATGCTTCAAAAAATTCACCAATCGCTTGCTCTCGTGGAGGCGGAACGCCAAGTTCGTCGGAAAATTAATCCATTCTGGTTGCGTCGTGAGCTGCTCAGGGTCCGATATCAGCGGCCGAGAGCGGTCCGTCATCGCCGACGCCGGCCCAAAGAAAGAAGCGAACCAGGCGTTGATGATGAGGAAGAAGGCGCGAGAGACGCCGAGTTTTCCAGCAATGGTTGGCACCCAGTGCTGCGCAAAGTCGTAAATAATCCAATCAGGTTTGGAAGCTTCAAGAAAGTTCGCTAATTGGATCTCGAGCCCGTCGAGGGCTTTCTTGAGATAGTGGACGTCCTCGACGCGGACGTCCATGGTGGCCTCTGCTCCTACGGGGAGCTCGGAGATTCGAGGGAGAGTAAGCTTCACGAAATCAATGAGAGGGGACAGGTTTGGGGGCAGGTTGGGGAGGCGCTCGATGTTTCTTGGGGTGGAGATGAAGGAGACTCGGTGGCCTTTTCGCGCTATGAACTTGGCGAGATCGAGGTAGGGGATGATATGGCCGAAAGCCAGCCATGGGAACATAGCCACGTGCATTTTCCGGTCGTCAGCGGCGGCGGATGAGGCGGGACGGTTCTCTAGTTCCATATTTGAGCGTCCTCTTGGAGTTCGTGTACGCGCGTTCTGGTGCTGTGCTCCAGTTGTGCTTTATATGGCCAAGCAGGCCAGGCCGCGGGCCTATTTATATTCGCATTCTAATTTTGCTCCACGCATGTTTGTGAAAATTATATTTTCAGACGAGATTTTGAAGTTTTAAATTACAACGGTAAATAAACAATCTGAATTGAAGTGAAGAACATCTAATATGTGGACGGTCTAGCGCCACCGTCTCTGCCGTCTCTGTTTCCAATGTTGTGGGTGCCACTTCTTAAACAGTGATTTCATTTCACATTTTCCCATTGGGAGAAGTTTTTTTTTTTTTTTTTTTTTTTGCATTGTAACTTTAACACGTGATTCTCTAAAATAAATTTAAAAAAAAGAATTGGCGGAGGTGAAACTTGAAGTTGAAAGCTTTGTGTGTGTGTGGGGGGGGGGGGGGGGTGAGGGATGCTTTAATTTGACTGATATTGATGGTAAATAAATAAAAATTGAATTTAGATATGTTTATTTTAATTTTTTAAAATTTTAATATTATTTTATCAAATATATACTTTGTCAGATTTAGTCTTCGTCCTAACTGATTGTTACTAGATATCATCCCAAAATCGATTTCAGTTTTAGCTTTATATATATTATTACATATTTGGTTGTATTTTAAGATTTATTTAAAAAAAATTTGAGGGGTTTAAGACGAAAGAAAACATATATGAAAGTTTGAAAATAAGTTGATATTTTATTAAAAAAAATTAATTATTGTAGCGCACTATAATAGCACAAGCGCTGAATAGGGTGCGCTGCAGCACCCCAAACACTGCCTGGGGCACACCGCAACGCACCAAAGGCAAAAAATGGGTGCCATAGCACGCCAAATACTAGAGGGACTGTGCCGTAACGTGCCAAACACTGGAATTTTGACGCTATAGCGCCATAGTGCTGTAACGTGATTTTTAATATTTTTGCAAAATTTTTAAAATTTTCAACCCCTCCAAGGACTCTTAAGATCTTTTAGACTCCTATAACTATGAAACAAAGATTTTGTTGACATTGTAAGATATCCAAAATTAATCTAAAAATTTATAAGAGTTAAAAGTTGATATGTAATAAAATAAGGGCAATCTGGTCGTTTTGCCCTCATGACTCACTATACAAACCCTCCACACCCATCTAGAGTCTTCTAAAAAGCTAAAACCCGCATGAAAAACTAGAGAAAGAATGAGAGATGAGCAAAGTGAAGAAAAGGAAGAAAATCAACCAAAAAAGTAAGGGATCTCACTAGTATTTGATTTATTGTTCAAGATTTTTGTATATCTAGCTTATTTACTCTATTTTAGAGGTTTTAATCAGTGTAGATTTTGTGTTTGAGAATGTTTGTGTGTTTTAAAGAGAGAAAAGTGGGTTTAACCTCACCCATAGAAAATATTGCATGATTTTTTGGTAGATTTAGCTAAAATAACTTTAGATTTTACTATATTTAGGTGAATCTATGCTCATGGTGGATTTTGTAAATCTTAATCTTGTCTTTATAGTTGGAAAAAGAGAGAGAGAGTAAAGGGAGATGATGTTAGAGTAGAGAGAGAGAGGGGCATGTTTGGTTTAAACTTAAAAGTTGAAAGAGAAGTAAGGGCATATTTGGTTTGAATCTAAAAGTTGAGAGAGAGAGAGTAGGGATTGTATTCATATAATTTAAAGCATAAGTATACATTTGCACTCTGCGTATAAGATGTTATTCTCATGCATATTTATATTCCACGTGTAGAAGAATAAGGTAAAGGTGAGCCAAACCCCGAACTTACAACTCTAAACCTCATTCCTAGACCATCTACATTATGTGAGTAGCATATTTTCTAAACTTAATTTTTTAATTAAATGTATGTTTTAGTAAAAACATAAACTGTTTTGAAACCATGAGTGTATATTTGGTATGAAAACATAGAAATAGAGTGTTTATGTTTTGCTTTTATCATATATATGAGTTTTAATGATTTCATAAGACTTTAGTACTTTGGCATTTAGACTAGAATGCCGGACAACCATTTGGGACAGGTGACAGTCCTACGTACATGACATTGGATCCAGTGGAGTCTTAAAGCACTATAGACTGTTTCAGACTTGTCTTGAATGGTGACCCATGGTGCAAGCTGCACAGTGTAGTAGCATTTGGCATATTTAGATGGTTTTTATATTTTAAATATTTTACTGTCCTCAGAGATTGTCGATTGTACACACCGATCAAAGCTATATGATCTATGCATGACTATAATTTAAATGTGATTCTTTGGTATATTTCTTGATGACTTTTATTATAGACTATGTGTATGATTCATATGCACTGAAACAGAAAGCATTTGATATGATGTTCTTTATTTATGCTTTCCTTCATTATAAATGTTCATAAACGATGGATTTGTATACTATATATATGAAATCCTTTCTATTTCCCTAAATTTAGTCCATATACCATTCACTAGGAATCCTATTCTCATTATTTTATTTTTACAGTTTTAGACATACAGTGTTGATATCCTTACACTTGGTATCACACTTGTCTTTACAGCTCACTAGTTGAGATGGCCAGATATAGCTAAGGGTATATTTTGTGGTAGTTGGATGTATTTTGCAATAGTATAGTTATGTCATTTATATTAAGACTTTTGTATAGTGATCTTTTGTATAATAAATCATAGTACATAACTTTTGGTTTATGAGATGATGATGATAGCGATGTAGATATACTTGTGTTTGAGGTGTATTTATGTTGCATATGTATGATGATAGTAGGGCACTTACAATTAGTTGTAGAGTAACTTTGAGATGTGAATGATTTGTTGGGGATATATTAATATTGATATAGGTACATGTTGAGTTTAGACAAAAAGGGTTCAGCAGCCGATATACTACTAGATTTTTTTTTGTAGGTATTGGCCGTTTCCTGAGCTGTTGCGCTCTGCCGAGTGGCTAGATAGGCGAGGTGTGACAATTTAATGGTATCAAAGCAAGTGTTGGAGTCTAGATTCTTGCATAGTATTTGTTTAAATGCACATGTTCTAATCTACAGGTTAGAATGTTCTAAGCACATGTTATAGAATGTGCTTGGAGAGGTAGAGGTAGTGGTAGGGATAGGCCAAGGAAAGAACAAATTATTGGCCAACCTCCTAGGGATGACACAAGCATATTAGCATTAGTAGCATCGAGGGAGGCAGGTCCCTTGTTGCCATATGCTAGTGCCTTAGAAGACCTACCTCTTGTGGGGACTATTCTATTGACTCCTCCACCACCACTAGTGACCACCACCCCTGTTCTTTCGATACCACCAGTGAACTTAGCACCACTGCCAGCTCCTTTAGTTATACCGGAGCTAGTGACTTTGATAGCTCAGGCCGTAGGTGTAGCTATGGCATATAGTTCTACTGTTCAGAATCCTATATCAGATGAGGAGAAGATTATAGGGATGGCCAAGAAGTTAGGGGTGACTGAATTCCATGGGACCACTGACCCATTGTAAACAAATGAGTGGATCCAAGAGATTGAGCGGATTTTTGATTTGATGCACTGCCCTTATGACTAGTGGGTGTAGAGTGCTACTTTCTTATTTCGAGGTAGAGCTCTACAGTAGTATTTTCCTTTAAGGCCAGGCAGCCAGTAAGAACAGTTATCAGTTGGACTAAGTTTAAGACCGCATTTGATGAGTAGTATTTTCCACCATTCTACCAAGACTAGAAGCACAATGAGTTCTTGGACTTGAAGTAAGGAACATGACAGTGGCCAACTATAAGGCCAAGTTTACCGAGTTGTCACGGTTTACACAAAAGTTTGTGGAGGATGAGCAAGATAAGTGTAGACTGTTTGAGCGTGGGCTGAGATTACAAATTTGAGCTAAAATAAAGATGTAGGAGCATAGCACCTTCACAAAATTGGTGGAATATGCCTTGCAGGTTGAGGGGATAAAGATAAAATTTCCCTAGAAGAGACAAGAATGAGCCAAGAGGAGTGCCCCAGTGACCACTTTAGCTAGAAGGGAGGGGCAACCCAGAAAAGGTCAGCATCAGCCCCACTAGTTGAGTAGATAAGGGAGGCATCGGGTAAACCGAGTTCTATGTCAATATCAGCTTCTAGCCCAGCTTTGAGGGAGTAGAGGCCCATTATTGTAGTGCCTGGAGCTAGTAAAGCTACTAGAGCCAAAGAGATAGATACTACTACCAGTAGGAGCGCTTCAAGGGTAGAGAGATTAATAGCATGTGCTCCTTCACGTGCGAATTATGGGAAGAACTATAAGAGGGAATTCATGAAAGGCTCTAGAGTGTGCTATAGATATGGATAGGCTTGGCACATCAAGCGAGACTTTCCACAAGCAAGTCAGAGTTTAAAGGTTTCTCCTAGGCTAGATACATTTCAGATAGCTCAGGTTAGAGATCGTGGCCCTCAACTAGCAAACAAGGAGGGACTACTAGTAGATCAAGAGCAAAGTTTCAAGTTTTTGCCATGACACATCAGGAGGTGAGGGCCATCCTAGACACAACAATGGGTATGTTATCTATATACAACACAGATGCTTATGTATTATTTGATTCGGGTTCTACTTTTTCTTTCGTCTCATGTGTATTAGCCGCTTAGTTGGGTTTGAGGCTAGATAGATTAGATTATAGTGTAATTATTTCGATACTAGTAGGGAAGATTTTTGTTGCAAAGCAGGTATATAAGGATTGTAGAATAGCTATAGATGGAACAGAATTGGTAGGAGACCTAATTCTGTTGGATATGCATGACTTAGATGTGATTTTGGGAATAGGTTGGTTGACAATCTACAAAGCTGGAGTGGACTATTTCAAGAAAGAGGTTATCTTACAATTGTCGGATGGTAGTGAAGTATGTTTCCAAGGAGAGGGCACATTTTACTCATTTGTATGATCTCAATGTTAACAGCCACCAAATTACTTCAGAATGATTGTGAGGCGTACTTAAGTTGATTGATAGATAAGCAAGTAAAGACT